CCCGGATGTGGTGTCTAAACTGAAGTCGAGGCTTGACTCTTATCACAAGCAAATTGTCCCTGCTGATTTCCCACCGAGTTCTAAATCTGCAGCGCCACAGAATTATGGTGGATTTTGGACACCAGGATGGTGCTAATTTGAATTGACAATGTTTAATTTCGAAATCAGTCTTTTTAACTAATTTAGGACGATTCTGTCACAATATATGCTTGTTTTGAATAAATGTTCATATTAAATTGTTAATTTCCAAAAAAAAAAAAAAAAAAAAAAAAAAAAAAAAAATAAATAAATAAATAAATCTTGAAAAGAGTTTTTAATGTTTAACGTACATATAAGAGATATGTTATTCTACTAGATACGGGTATATCGCATTATTTGTGGCTAAAAGTTACAGAGATGTTAAATATATTTTCAAACATAACACATGTATAATAAATTGATATCTATTCGCCAGCATAAAAATTCAGCATTAGCAAGTAAGAGCTGAATACAGAAACACTAAGGTAAAAATCATTTGAATCAGTTGATTTCCCAAGATACATGTACATGTATTTAAATAAACTGAAAGAGAAAATTGATTTAAAGTTTGTGAATGTTTAATGCTAAAAATAAAATTTAATAACTTGAATTCAGAAAAAATGGATAAAAATGGCTGAAACATGACACAGGGACTTGCACACCAGACAGTACACGTAACCCCCCGCAGCTATCAAGAAGATGAGATACTGGTCATCTGGACGTTTTTTCTGTCTTCTTATAACATTGGAAGAAAAAACATGCATATAACTTTTAACTGTATTCAGACTGAAAAGTTCATTGTTCTAAGACTCGATTTACTTCAAAATACGAATTTCTCCTTTGGAATAAGTTTAGCAAATAATCATAATAGCTAACGGAACAAAAATTATTATTGAGGGGGATTCAGGGTTCCATTTTGTAGGGGGAGACGGAGGGATAAATGATACATACTAGGTATTTATGTGTGGGATTTAAGGAGTAAACCCCCTCTCAAATAATATGTCTTGTTAACTTTAAAGAGCTATTATAATCATATAAATCATAAGTGTTGTCAATTCCTCTTGTCATATATATCCTTTTGAAAAAATCGCGCCCATCCATTGGGATATGCCTGTCGTAAGCAATTCAAGGGCTACGACATTGATGTCCTGAAAACTTCTGAACCAGTGTAGAATTCAACTGAGACTAAGATTTCTAGACTGTATGGGTGTGATATACCCCCCCCCCCAAAAAAAAATAATTTCATGAAAAAAGAAGTGCAAAAACTAGTTAGTGAAAACCTTACGAAAATGTATTGTAGAAAAATCCTGAAACATTTTTTGTGTGATCATTGAACTCCCCTTAATAAATAAACCAAAATTAAAATATTGGGTATTCAAACAAATAGGCATCGCACAAAATATTATTTGCGTTTAGATCGATTTTGTTTATTATTTTTTTACTGAAGGGGAAGCATATGGATAAAACTAGCAAAAATACTTCATGCAGAAAAAAAGCAGACACAAAATCCTTGAGGGATTGGAAGTTAAGAATCTGCTTATCATTCTCAGGCTCTATAACCCCCTAAATATAAATACTTAAAAGGCTCTATAACCCCCTAAATATAAATACTTAAAAGGCGTGAACTCTTAACATTATGATCTCTTTGATTACAAAAATAAATGATCAGATAATTCAGTTGCTAGCATCATGTTTCAAAGTGGGTGGAGTGGGGATTGAAAAGCAAAGAAAATTTAAAAAGGAACAAGAGGCTCAAGGGCCTTAACGGTCACCTGAGTATGATACAACAATTTAAAGGATGCATAGAGTATAAAATGAACTGAAAGGTGAAGCTTTGTTGCCCAAAAGCAAGAAAAATAGGGTGATCATGATCAACAAAATATTTGGTCTTAATATTCATCAACAGTTCATAAATTAGGTTCTAATCTGTTCCCCATTTATCACTATCACCATACAGTATATTAACAAATTATCAATGCTTCTGTACTATTTTAATCCTTTGTTGAAATCTCTTACATTGGCCTCCCTTGGTCTTTGATGAATATTTAATAAGACAAGTTATTTTGGTCTCATTTTTATTTATCTACTACTTACAAGTCTATCTGATCATTAAAACTATGAAAGTACTTTTTGTATTATACAATAAAAGTTTTTGCATAATTCTCTTATTCTATTTACCTTTGAAGTACATTATTTACAGTGATAAATTATCAAAAGTAAATGGCAAAGGGGAGTAACTCCTCTCAGTAGAATACAAACTAATAGAGCCCTGGCCAGGACCAGAACACTTGACCAAATGGTCCAGATGTTCAAAAATCTGGTAAAAATTCCCTTCCTTATAAAAACTTTTACTCTGTTTGCCTCAGATATGCCCAGGTGCGGAGATTTTTAAATAAATAATGCATTTTTACGACAGATTCACTATATTATCAATAGAGCCCCCCCCCCCCCCCCCTGGAACACCAGAGCTTATGACCCCTGGGACCATATGTTTGCTCATCATAACTAATCACTTTGTTTATCTGCTTAACACTAAGGAGCAAACAGGATTATTTAATAGAATTAATGCATTTTCACTAAATTATCAAGAGTCCCACCCTCTCACCAGCACATCTGAAATTCACTACTCTGGAAGAAGCACACTTGCTCATCATAACTATACACGTAGCTTCTTTGCTTTTTTAACCAGAAGAAGAAAAGAATATTTTCAAAGAAATTTTGCTTTTTCACTTTATTATCAATAGAGCCCCGCCCTAACACCAGAACCCCTGATCCAGGGGCCACGAATTTAACATTTTGAAAGAGGCATCCTTGATTATCATAACTATGTATTTAATGTGCTTCAATAATACCCAGGAGTAGAGAAGAAGATTTTCAATGAATTAATGCATTTTCACTATATAATCAATAGAGCCCGCCCTAACACCTGAACTCCTGACCCTGGGGCTATGAATTTCACAATTTTGGAAGAGACACTCTTACTCATCATAACTATATACTTAGTTTATTTAATACCCAGGAGCAGAGAAGAAGATTTTCAATGAATTAATGCATTTTCACTATATAATCAATAGAGCCCCGCCCTAACACCAGAACCCCTGCCCCTGGGGCTATGAATTTCACAATTTTGGAAGAGACACTCTTACTTATCATAACTATATACTTAGTTTATTTAATACCCAGGAGTAGAGAAGAAGATTTTCAATGAATTAATGCATTTTCACTATATAATCAATAGAGCCCCGCCCTAACACCAGAACCCCTGCCCCTGGGGCTATGAATTTCACAATTTTGGAAGAGACACTCTTACTTATCATAACTATATACTTAGTTAGTTTATTTAATACCCAGGAGCAGAGAAGAAGATTTCCAAAGAACTAATGCATTTTCACTATATAATCAATAGAGCCCCGCCCTAACACCAGAACCCCTGCCCCTGGGGCTATGAATTTCACATATTTGGAAGAGTCACTCTTACTCATCATAACTATATACTTAGTTAGTTTATTTAATACCCAGGAGCAGAGTAGAAGATTTCCAAAGAACTAATGCATTTTCACTATATAATTAATAGAGCCCCGCCCTAACACCAGAACCCCTGCCCCTGGGGCTATGAATTTCACATATTTGGAAGAGTCACTCTTACTCATCATAACTATATACTTAGTTAGTTTATTTAATACCCAGGAGCAGAGAAGTAGATTTTCAAAGAAATAATACACTTTCACTATATGATCTATATAGCCCCACCCTAGCACCATAACCCCTGACCCTGGGGCCATGAATTTCACAATTTTGGTAGAGGACTAAATGCTTATTACAATGATGCCAACAGTTTGACTGCTTGATGTCCAGGAGTAAAGAAGAAGATTTTTAAAGATTGCATTAATTTTGGTGGTTTTAGCCCCACCCCTCAGGCCCCAGTTACATGTAGGCAGGGACACAATTTTTGTTCCCCTTTACCCATAAATGCTATATGCCAAATTTAGTTGAAATTGGTTGAGCAGTTTCAGAGAAGAAGCTAAAAATGTTCAAATGTTAACGCACATCGCACGACGCACGCCGACGGACAAAAACGGATAGCAATAGGTCACCTGAGTGACTCAGGTGACCTAAAAACTAAAATGTCACAAAATTAGTGTTTTTTTTTTTAGGGGGGCGGGGCTGCCCCTTCCCCATCTTTCCCAGTCCCCTTACACATCTCGTGCCTTTACTACTAGTTTGAACATCCACGTTCTCACCTACAGGGTAAATCTGGTATAGATATAAAGTGATTGTCATATAGTGCACATTGTAATTTTGTTTTCCTTCCAAACAAAACAAAAGTGAAAGAAGTTAATATGGTTCGTTACTTATTTACTTCTGGATACAATCGTGATCCAAAATTAAAATATCTTGATACTTTGAATTGCACATTAATCAGAGAATTTGTCATAAAAGCATGGTTCCATACATAGTATATGGTCATTAATTTAGTAATTTACGGTCTTCATCTAAACATACGGTCATCATATTACAAAACATTGAGGACGATTTATCGTTTTAATTTCCTTAATGCGTGTAAAGAACAGCAACTGACATCCCTATATACTTACTCATCATTATAGGTAACGCAGATAAATTGACAAATATTTGAAATAGTGATTGCAAAATTCTATAACTAATCAGGTCGGCTGACATTTTTTTGATGACCGTAATATATACTACGGTCATCAGCTTGTATACAGTGACCAATATAGCTGTCAGTTTCTTAAAACAAAGATAAATATATAATACATGATAGTCAGCAGGAAATCTTGATAATTTCTTCCATCATCATAATACGAATTGAACACACAAAGATTATATAAAGTAAACAGTCAATATCAGGATATTTAAAGTGCAGAAGTCGTCCCACTTTCTGAACCGCGAATCATGTGACCGAATTCAAAACACAATATAAAATGTAAATGCTGCATCGATCCGAGATACACATTCCGGTAAAATGGCGACAGCTAGCTTTCTATTCTACGTTACCTGTCTCCTCCAGCTAACTTTTGTTTCTGCTAAAGCTCCAAACATCCTCTTCATTGTAGCAGACGACTATGGTAAGTAATTTATCGACATGATCAAAGTAACGTAAAATATTTTGCCTTCTATTACATGATAATACATGTAAATACTATTGTAAAACATTCAGCAGCTTTCTAATTATGTCTATAATTTTCAAGGACTTGCTGAAATAATAGTGCAATCGATGCATGTAAAATTTGTCTAAGCTCATTATGAATCGAAACTGTGCTTATTAAGAAGGATTTCATAAAATGCTGAACATAGGAATGTTTGTCCGCTATAATCGTCTTCATTTCCCGTATTATTTTCCTTGCTCGTTGATAAGTTTTAAACTTCCGACTTGACGAACAAACTAGTTTCTTGGATATATTTTTCATAGTCCTTTACATCAAGCGAACTTTTACGATTTTTTTCAAGGGAGGAAAAGTTATCATATTATAATTATGAACATGTTATTATGCAAGGTTGGAATGATGTTGGTTTCCGGAATCCTGACGTCATAACTCCAAACATTGACAAACTGGCGCACAGCGGTATGATCTTACAATCCTCCTACGTGATGCCCGTCTGTACACCGTAAGTTCCTTACAACAATGATTTCTTCTCAGGAAGGATAATAATGAAATTAAAATTGAATGCAATAGGATCCCTAAAATCTTGAATTTTAGAGCTTGATACGAATGAAATTCGAAGTAAAGTTACATGTATATAAATAAGGAACATCTAATTGAGTACATTTGAAATGAGGCCTTCTCTGTATATGTAATTCTAATAATCATTTGATTAAAGATATAAAATAGTGTATGTGCTGTTTTGTTTTACTTAATAACAATTTGCTTGAATTGTATAATTTGAAGGCATTTCTAAAGGGATATTGTCTTAGTTTTAAATCTTAATGATAAAATTTTTAATTATTAAGAATAAATTTAGGTAATTTAAAAAACCTGGGTAAGAGCATGTTTTTTTTTGTAAACCGCATTCTGCTTTTATAAAGCTTTAACTGCGCAGTAAATCATTCAGTAGCTATTAAATCAATTACTTAAAAATTATACAGATTTTATAAATAGACATGATTTAAGAAATACATTTGATTTCTTCCTTAAAGTAGAAGTCCATGCATGCGCACAAAGAATGGGAATATTTTTGTTCTTGTTCATTCGTTAGATTGACAATTGTAGGTCAAGGAACTCGTTCATGACTGGTCACTACGCCTACAAGTCCGGCCTTCAGGTAATATAATTATATTGACAAGCGTAAGATTGTTAAAGCCAAGCTACACGATTCAATTATGAGAGGAGCGGATCTTTCCCTTGTATCGCACGTTATATACTTTATCAAGATTTTCAATTTCTACATTTACCGAATCAAAATAAAACGCTGGTATGAAATTAAGAAAAAAAACTTTGGTAAAATATATAAAATAGAAATATATAATAATTCCTCAAGTTGTGCTAAATAGGTTACAGTGGTTATGTATCATAAGAAAATATGGACAGTTAATAGATTATAGCCCGAGGTGAAATACTGAAGTATGTTTTTGATAATACAGATTTTTTTCAGCATCTAGTAATCCTTCCTGAGCAGGCTGCTTGTTCTCCCCTGAATTACACCTTTCTACCACAGAAATTAAAAGAGTTAGGGTATACCACCCACGCTATTGGAAAGTAAGTCTTGTTTTCTAATTCAATTAAGAATAAAAAGAATAATTGCTAGATCTGAAATTAACTTAATAAAGGAGTGGTTGCTTACTGCATTCATGTTCATGTTCTTTTCATATACTTTGTTCGACATTATTGAATATCATATTTACAAATAATGCCCAGTTCATATTTTTAATCTCATAAATTTCTCTATGTAAATATTAAAATGACTTGATTTAAGCTTAGTCTAGTCCGGATAATTTTGGTTGACGTTTAAAACCACCTTTCTCTGTCGTCCATAGGGTCCCCCCTTCCCCCAAGTGTGTGTTAGAATCATCCATAATGAATTAGATAAATACCTTTGTTTCTCAGATTTGGATTTGGCTGAGGTCTTACTTATAGGATTAAAGATTAGATGAGCTTTATGTTTCTTGCTGTCCATGCATATAATACCATATTGTTAAATATAACATTATTAAGATAGTAACGGAGGGAGAAAAAGAGGTAGGGAACATAGAGGTGTCTCATAGAACTATTTAAATATACATAAATCACTCCTCCTATAATTTATAAGATTTTCATATGAATTTGTGCAATTAGAAACTGCATGAAATATTTCTATCTTACATTTTATTAACCATTTTCTTTTTATGGACTGATTTAAAAGGTCCAAAATAGCTAATAGAAACTCTGTACTTTGTCATCCCTTCCTTCATTATTCTTTTATGTCGCTCACTTCCAACGCACATAGAAACTTTTCAGTAAGTGCACATACTAGACTAGTCTATTCAATTCTTATATTTGATTTCAGAATTACAAACTTATTTTATTTTATTTTGAAAAAAAATGAAATGTTATATATGTTCGGGTTTTAATTAGTCCAGAAATCAACTTTTTCTGGACTAAGGAATAGAAAGATTGTTGTATTATTCAGGTGGCACCTAGGATTTTGTAAGTGGGAGTGCACCCCCACCTATAGGGGGTTTGACACGTTCTATGGTTATTACAATGGCCAGGAGGACTATTACCAGCTTAGTGTTGGTATGTACATGTGAAATGCAATCGAATTTATAAAATTTTGAGTCTGTTTTCTAGAGCAATTCAATGAATGCATCTTTTGGTATGGAATAAGATCATGTACTTTTTTGGTCATTTAAAAATAAATTTACAAATTCATAAATTGTGATAATTGTATGTTTGTATGTATTAATATACTATTTAGAAAGATGAAGGCTTGAAATGGTTTGATATTAATCTCTAAACTACTAGTATTGATCGGAATTATAATATACTAGATAAAATCCCGCGCAAGCGCGGGGATTACCACTACCGACAGAAAATTCCGACAGCCTACAGGCTTATAGCAGGAAGAAATACTTTGTTCAAAATCCCGCATGAAGCAGATGTACATGTACGTCTCCACCCCACCTCCCTTTTGTAAAAACTTGAAAAATTACAATTTCATTTATTGACGTTTTTCTGAAACCTGTTATACTATGTTATGGATATTGTACTTCAGATGCTCTTATTTCATTTCCGTCATGGATAAAAGCAGCGAATATGCACATTATACTGATAAATTGATTGGGTTTTTTTTGGGGGGGGGGGGGTTAAAATTCACAGGTACTTGGGTCTTGGTTTATAAATACATGTATGTATGTACCTTATTGATATGTAAAAAATGTACTTTACTTTTTTTTTTTTTTTTTTACATATCAATAAGGTACAAACATATATATAAACCAAGACCCAAGTACCTGTGTAAAAAATTATTTTCTATAGCTTTTAACGCCCTATGAATAGGCCGAGTATTTGATACAAAAGACTGTATTCAGAAAAAAATTGAAATGTACTGATTAAAGCACACAATTTTACAGCATTAATTGTATTTGAACAATTCTTTATTCATTAATTTTCTCTTTTCGTGTAAGCAAGTTTATTACGAAATACAAATTGTACTTCGGGTTCGTTGCCACGATGATCTCATTGAGGAATATACAAATTTTACCGATAAATTTATTAGGAAATCCTACTACATATATGTAATAGTCTTTCGATATATAAATATATTCACAACTTATAGTGTTATCAATGGTTTACAATTATTTCAATGACCATTCACACAAATTTTTCATGCAGCTATAATCGTCTCGTTTTTCTTTATAACATCGGACTCGATGCTATATGATGTTCTAGAAGCTTCCGTCAATATTAAGATCGGCGAATAACGAAAATAATTTGCACATTTCCCTTTTTAATCGGTTATCACAACTTTTTTCTTTTATATCATTTAAATCAAGTTTTGATTGAATAATTCGGTGATGACGTTTTATGAAATAAATAAACGATTGCTTGTCGTCAGTTTCATTAAAAATTGCCAGTAACTTAGATCCGCCAACCGGAAACGCCACCTTTCTCACGTTTCTGCTAATTCATGGCTGTTTATAGAAAATGAAAGTAGACTTTTCATTTAATGTACGATACTTACTATGCGAGTGGAATCTAAATTTAGTTTACGGACATCATCTTGTATCTAGTGTATTCTTAGAGGAGTAAGTAAGAACTCTGGTGCACCCATTTCGGAGTTTATTTGCAAAATTTATTAATTTATAAGTATAGATACTTGTAAATCATTGACAATTTCCGTACATTTTGTATTTTTTTTCCTGCTTAGAAAGTGCAGAGAGGAAAGTATATTAAAATGTTATTTCAGTATCATGCTCAATGAATAGACAATTGAAAAAAAAAATAAATATATTTAATTGAATAATAAATCTGATTCTTTATATCTTAATAGCCGGTGGTAAGGACTTCAGAGACAACAAAACACCCGTTAATGCCACGGGAGAGTACTCTGCAGTAAGTGTTTATAAATCAAGTATAATTCTCTGATCAGAATTAGTTACCAGCTCAAGGTGAGACCGTTTGGCCTTCCGGCTTCTTTTGGTATATTCACAAAGGATTTTCATTCTCAAAATATTTTTAATACCTGTAAATGTGCCTGAAAAAAGTATATATGGAAAAATCAAAGAGACTTTGAGATGGATACAGTTTCGGAATCGGTTTCTCTACTTTTTTATTAAATCGCATAATAGGAAAACAAAAATTACATGTACACAAAGTTTTACAAACATAATTTTTTTTATTTCTTTTACATGCTATTGTCGAGGAATCATAAGCATTAACACGTAATAATTGAGCCGACAACACAAAAAGCCGATTCCGGGAAATAGGACCATAAACTGTCTATCCCCTTTCTGTTTCTATCTTTTTCTCAAAAGGGGGAACGACTTCTTTACCCCGCCCCTCTTGGACCGGCCACTGGTTGTAACTGATGCAACATTTCGTAAATTATAAATACATGTATTTTAATTATTACAGCATATGTATGCCAGAAGAGCTCAGTCTATCATTATGGGTCATGACATGACTAAGCCAATGTATATGTACCTGCCATTCCAATCTGTACATGAACCTCTTCAGGTAAATATATATAAGTCACTGCATTATTATACACAAGAAATACTTTTTAATCACACTTTTTATAACTCTTTTGAAAGGATAGTCTTCTCAATGACAAATGCGTTCAACCGTCAACTATTAGAGTACCTGCTAAGGACACCTTAGTAACTCAATCTTTTTATTTTTAAAAATACTGTCCCATAGGTTCCAGATTATTATAGTGCCATGTATCCAAAAGTGAAAACAGAGTCACGCAAAACCTACTTAGGTAAATGCCACTTTCAAAGAAATTGGATGATTTTGTTACAATTGTTTTGATTTTTAAATTTAAAAAAAGTCTTTCACAAACAATGCTAGAACAAACTAGGACCAGTTGTACTTTTTAAGCTACTGAAGTTGAGTTGTTGAGCATAGTACATGTACTTGGATTCGCAAAACTTCGATGATTTTCTAAACCTTAATTTCCAGGTATGGTAACAGCCATGGATGAAGCAATAGGAAACATAACTAATGCATTAAAAGCTAAAGGAATGTTCAACGATACACTTATTATATTTACTGCAGACGTGAGTACAACAAACATAACCACAATTACATTTGCAAAGTATATAAATAAATGCTGTTATCTATAGAAAGTAATGTAACAAACGATATTTCAGCAATAGCGCGAAAAATAAAATGATGACTCACTCTGCTAAAGATCACATTAACATACTGAAAGATTTCGAAAAAAATTACATAATTCATCGCCATTTGCAGTTCTTGTGTGACTTTCACAATGATATACATTTTTATGTAATAAGAATGGTGGCTGGGTAACATTTGCCGGAAATAATTATCCACTAAGGGGAGGTAAGACCACATTGTTTGAAGGAGGAACAAGAGCCACGGCATTTATATCTGGGGCCGGGATACAGAAAACTAACTCTGTCTATAATGGGTCAGTATTTGAATTATTCTCAGAGAGGATATTTGAGAAAGCGATAGCAATATTATCTTCGAAGCAGTACCTTAGACATGTATCTGCTGGAAAGCAGTCATCTATATTTGTTAGATAACGTATTGAATTTCAAATATTTTAGGTAATAGAATATTTTTATATGATACTAATGATGAATAGTTGAATTTAAATCTAAACATGTTGATATTGTTAAAAGTTATAAAAAGTGATTTTCCTTGTATTCTAATAAAATAGATGTCTTCTCTTAGAGGAAGACAATAAACAATGTGCATTTAAAATAAAGAATGGACTGTAAAATTGCTTTATCAGGTCACTGAATGACAGAAATAAACTTATGATATCAATTTTTATTCATCGTCCGTCAGTCGTAAACTTTTGATCATGCTCTACTTGTTTAATCTACCTACCTGAAATCATTGTAAAAAGTACATATTAGAATATATGAAGGAATGAACACAAAAAGTATGAACTTTGACATAGTTGTGAAGTTCAAGCATCTCATTGATCGTTTGAGATAACAGTTTGATACTACTCTGTAAAAACAGCTTTTTTATAAAACAAAATCTAATCATTAAAAACACAATAATATTGTGAATATGCATGTGAATATAATTATAACCAATACCAATGATAATAAAATTATAAAGATCTTCAATTTAAAACACAAAGGTTTGTGAATTTACTTATGAACATATATAAGTTTGCTTAATTGAGACATTCGTTCTTATTTACATTCTCTATTTCCTCACATGTTTAATTGTATTGTCTACTTAAGGATTATTCATGCAGTGGACTGGATGCCTACAGTTCTCAGTGCAGCTGGAGGAACACCAGGTAGAGTGGAAAGTGTAATCAGAGGGCAACGATCCTATCATAAAATTCATAAAGTCTTAGTGTATAATAAAGGGGCATCAATACTGTCCCAAAATTGATAAAGTCTGAAGGTCAAGATCTAGTAAATGAAAGGTGCCTACAGATTTCTCAAATTTGAGAAATAAATTCCTTTAGTGATGCTTTATAACTTTAGCTTGGTCAAATGTGTTTCGGGGCATAATTTGTTGGCAATCAAGACGAAAAATCATATTTTAAACTGTCATTTTCAATGAAAAATTAAGAAAACCAGTCATGAATACGGGAGTTTTTCCATATCAGACAAAGGAATTGTTTCCAGATTGCCTACAGTCTCTCAGAAAACGGTAATTTGTATGTTCTTGGCCTCTTCTTTGAAATAATATAAAACTGAATATAGGTATGGGGATTACTTTTCACAATGTTTCAAATTGAATTCCATGAAAATACTTTATTTTCTACCAAATTCTATTAGAGCTGTAAAGTACGGGAAAAAGAAATTGAAATTGATTATGACGTCATAATGGATCTAGCACCAAAAAAGACAATCTAAAGTCATTTCCTAGATCTTGACCTTAAGTGTAATCAAGGGTCAACAATCCTGTTCCAAAATTGATAAAGCCTAACGCGGCTAGGATAAGGCTGTTCGAAGAATGTCACAGTGTACCAACCGCAGTAACTTCTCTGAACTACCTAGATATGACGTCATAATGGCATATGACGTCAAGTCACTGCAAATTTGAGCAGACATGACGGGGAAAGTGTCATAACATTTACATTTCTTTCACATCACATGTAGAATTTTTTATGTTGATGTTTAATTCACGTGTCTGGATTGTTGTTTTAAGGCTGTTATGATGGTGAATATTTGCAGTATAATATCGTTATTCCTTTTTCTTGTCTAACATGTACGTATTCAAACAATTACAAAAAAATTGTGAACCCCCCCCCCCCTTACGCGTCTTTAGACAGAGTGAGAATTTATAAATCGTGTATATATTAGACTGGCATAAGTGAATAATAAGGATTAATTGAAGATATTCTGTGTGAATCAACTAGAGAAATATGTCCTCTAACTGAATTTTGCTGGGGGATTGTATGTAATTTATCCCATTTTGTATAAATTGCGAGGAAGAGTGGAAAATGACCCCTTGTATGTGGGTAAGTTGAATTTCTCGTGAAATATTTTCTTAAGAAGTAAAATTCAGACTTGCCCCCAGCACTTTATATATACCAAGAATACGTTTAATTGATTTATGTAACAAGCCGTTCACAATAATTTTGTTTTTCACTTGTGCCGATGCGATTTTTGTGCAACATTTAAGAAAATTCATAAGTGTCCGTCACGTGATCAACACAGTCATGTGACATCATAGAATGCTTTTTTTTTTATAATGCCTTATTCAACTCTCTTTACAACTTAACTGTGTATGTATGCATAGATTACAAATTGAAATCAAATCATAGCTCAAAAGAAAATAGTATATATCTAATGCATATTAAGCCTTCGGACAGCCTTAACATAGCTGCGAAGGTGTAATCAAGGGTCAACAATGCTCTCCAAAAATTGATAGAGTTTAAGTGTAATCAAAGTCTAAAGTGTAACAGGCCTCTAAGTGACCTCTAAAATTTAGGCGCCAACAAGCGCCTTATCAAAAAAAAAAATTAATCGCCAATGCAGATTTTTAGAAGCCAGGCAATTCTTAAGGCGTCAACTTTAAAGTTAATAGTAATCAATGGTTGTGACGAAAGTATCCCCCCCCCCATGTTTGAAATGATAGTATGTAGGAGATACACTAACAAGGAAACATTCTTCTCAGATTTCTTGTATTTAAAAATTATTGAAATTTTTATAGATTTAAGAAGACATTATCATTAAGTAGTGGTATCGATTAGATTAAATTTGACTTTTATATTAAAAGTAAGGTCAGGTCAAGGTCATTATCTTTTTCCTTGACCTTAGGAATAAAATAATTATGTTGCCAATCATGCAATGCCTACTTTTATTTCAAAAGACTAAATGTTTTTCTCTTTGTATAAAAAGATATTACCATATAAGGTCTATCAGACGATACTACCAAATTAACATAAATAATTTAACTAAAATAGTTATTGGCTCATCCGAATTTCCTCCATTTTTCTTAGATTTTAAGGATATACTACTTATTTTTATATGCTTCGTATATATAATTTTTTCTTATTTTAAAATATGGTAAAGTAGTCATATAAAGATACAAATTGATACAAAAACAAAAAGTTTTGAAAATTTACTAAGAGAGAGAGAGAAAAAAACACTTTTTACAGGTTTTTGGCTCAAATCTGTACTTAGATCGGAAGCTTTTAAAAGTTAACAAAATTGTAATTTGTCTGGAAAATCATATTAATTTGAAATATTTTAAAACTTCAGTTCATTATTTTTAATTTTACTTACATCTGAATTTTTCTTTTAGACTTTGAATGTTTAAAAATTTTAAATAAATTCATTGTTCTATAGTAATTTTGAGAAGCAGAAAAGGAGATATTTTCATACGACGCCGTTCCGCCAAAAATATAGTCCCTTCTAGATTTCAAACTCAGTTTACCATTTCTATTTAAAGTTGTACAATTATGACGAAGAAAAGAAAAATATGATCTTTCAAATCTCTTACATCTAATTATATAAGACATATAACCAAATATACTTTGAATATTTCATCTAGTCAAAAACCACGCAGCTATGTTAAGGCTTCCCGAAGCTTTAGAATGCGTTCAAAACATAATATGTCATTGCGAGGTCGAATTTGGTTTTAATTTGTAAGTATTGAACTTTAAGACTTCCTATTTATATAGAGGGTTTCCTCGACTATATATTAACATATTTGTTATGATATCACGTGACTTTGTTGATCATGTGACGGTCATTTATAATTTTTTGAAGTGTTTCATATAAATCGCTTCGGCGCAGCTGATTAACACAATAATTATTAACACGTTATTATATAGATAAACTCATCGTATCCTTGTGTACCCGAAATGTGCTTGGGAAAAGTCATAGTATTACTTGGGTACAAAATATTTCGTGAGAAATTCAACTTACTTACAAATTTGAGGGTATTTTCCACACAATATCGAAATCTGTGTTAAAACAAAGCCAACACACATTTTTTCAAAGCAAGATTCAGTTAGAGAACAACCTCTTCTTACAGATTTCCACACAAATTCTCAGATTAATCCTCATTAATCACCTGTGCCAGACTCTTTTATACACACAAAATAAATTCTACCTCCAACCACGGGTATAAAACAGAGTACATTTCAAAAGTATATTTTTCATAAGCATTTTGAACATGCTGAATTTCAATCAAGGGTAGGTAAGCGGTGTATTTTTAAAATATTCGGACATACAAGACTTTAAAAACCTTAACGACCCGTGAATTTTGCAATAGTTATCTAGCATTTTACATGCAGTTTGAAATAAAGTGTAAAGTTCATGACACTCTCTCCATCATAACACCTCAAGTTGGCAGTCATTTTCGATTATGACGTCATATTTTTGTAGTTCAGAGAAGTGAAGGCACAGAGTGCACTGTGATATTCTACGGGAAGCATTAACCTACCTGCGCAGACAAGAATCCCTCCTTAAGCCTAGATTTTATTCACTAATGCGATTATAATGGTTTGATATATCTATATTATTTGATTTATTCTATCAATTGCGTTTATTGTGCCTTTAGATATATATGCAGTTAGTAATGTTTTTTCGTGACATTTTCTACATGATTTTTGAGAACACGTATTTAATTTTTCATACACTGCAGACCCAAGTCTGGACGGAATCGATCAATGGGACAGTCTAAGAACAGGAGGGGAGTCCAAGAGAACCGAATTTGTTTACAACATTGATGATATGAAACCGGAGCTCTGTGGCCACGCCGCCATAAGGTACATACAGAATTATATAATATTATCATAATTAGCGTAAATTTATGTTTATCATATAAATAAAGGGAATTCTCTAACTGTCTTGATTATTTATTGTATACGTTGTTCGATTCTTTTGTATTTACAAGTTTACAAAAAGCAAGCATTGTCCATCAATAATGAATCGAAGATTTGAATGCAAATTTTCATAACACATCGACGTGCTTAACTCGATATGAATGTACACCAGAGTACTTTATAACGCCGAAAAGCGTTAAAATGCTAATATGCGGTATTTCTTAATTTTTGGAAATATGTTTTAGAATGGGGGATTACAAATTAATAGATGGATATCCAGGATTCTACCAAGGCTGGTACAAGCCTGACCAAGTGGTTAAAGACAATCATAACGATGCCCCAGCCAACGTCACGTTTCCTTTTACAGACAAGTTGATGCTTTTTAATTTAAAAGGTTTGATATACAAGAGATTTTGTCACTGTTGAAGTAATAAAGTTCTTTCTATGAAAATGTAAGAATGTAAAGTACGGTTTTTCAAAATTCTTTTTGCACTGTGCATACTCTTCTTGTGTGAAATTCCTCGTATTTACCATATCAAATGAAAATTCAATGAATCCTCTTCATCTTCTTTACCATTATTATTTTTTGACAAAAAATGTTCAATTTTAGATGATCCAAATGAACACGTCGATCTATCCAAAAAGCTCCCGGATGTGGTGTCAAAACTGAAGTCGAGGCTTGACTCTTATCACAAGCAAATTGTCCCTGCTCGTTACCCATCGAATACTAAATCTGCAGCTCCCAAGAATTATGGTGGATTTTGGACACCGGGATGGTGCTAATTCAAATTTACATAGTAAAATGTTCAGTTTTGTTAAATTAGATAGGATGGTTCTGGCACAATATCTTTTTGTTTGAGTAAACGTTAATTAAGATTAAATTATTAATTTCCAAAGAAATAAATCTTGTTGAAAAGTGTATTAAATATAAATGTTATACACATGTAACATATAAAAGATACGTGTCCTAAATAACAAACACACACAGAGAGGCTATGTTACTATTTTGCGCTCAGAAAAAGAACCAAACGTATCTATTTACAAAGAATTATGCACAAGTGTTTGTAATTTGATTGGTATACTAGTATCGGATTTAGACAACTAGTTATTTAAAACACATCTCAAAGACTCTGTACACGATTTATTTAAAGAATTCACTTCGTTATATTGAATTAAAATTTTGATAAACTTGCTCATTCTTCTTCTTTTTTTAAGATGAACATTTGTTTTTGTTAAACAGGCAGACGACTGAGAAATTATCAGTGCATTATCAACCAGCAGCTTAAACATCTACCTTTCTAAAAGCATGAATCAAGAAAAGTTTATACATAGTCTTGACAATTAAATTGGGATCCTTTACTATTATGGATATTTACAACCCCTCTCCTCCTCCCCTCCCCTCAAAAAACCTTCATTCTGCATGCATACGAAATGGTCATCATAAAAAAGTATTAGTGGATCATAATTAGTCAAGTTGTACGTATAAATCAAACATCTGTTAAAAGTATCATTTTATAAATACAATCTCCCTTGTAAAAACCACATATGGTACAAAATCTAAAGTCATGTATTGCGAACTACATTCATAGTAACCTTTCTCATTTTTTAATGGTATTGCGTTGTTATTATAAATTCTTTCAAATAATCGATAAAATAATTTAAACGGTAGTCGATTGTAGCTTATGACATTACTAAATTTTGTTCATGAGTATCTACATAGAGATAAATTTCTGTGACAATAATGATCATACTATGACAAATAAAAGCTCAAATCTTAATTAATGAACATCATATATGTATATGTATGCATGTTTCCTATGGATATCGTAATCATGTTATGTCTATCTGAATTTTTAATTCATCTGCCAGTATTGACATAAATCTCCATCTCCCTCTATGTACATATATAGTTACCGTTCTTTTTTGAGTTTTTAAAAATAATAAATATATATAAGAAAAAATAAATAGGTAATGAATAAATTAAAAAAATATGAAAAAATGTTACTTTGGCATTTAAAAAGTAAAAGATCAAATATACGAGGGCCGTTCAAAAATTACGAGGACACTTCTATTATTCACTCTGCACCAGAAATGGTCTATGGATGTTTATGCTTAGTGGATAAGGTAACCAAACTATACAGTACCAAATACTTAGGAACATGTTGAAAAAAAAAGAAAGTTAAGGTCTTTTGATTTATAATTCCCTTGACGTCAAAAATTTAACTGCACCGTGACTTTTCAATATATTGATATGAAAATTTTGAGGTACATACAAGGAAAGATTCTATTTTATCATGTGCTACATTTCGCTTGATTGTCATCAAATATTACAGAAGAAAATATTTGAATCATATTCAGATGCATGATATGCGGATATCCTTAATCATAACTCCATACTAAGTAGTCTGTCCATAAAATTCACTAAATTTTGATAAGTAATTAAATACAATATGCGGATGAAACCAATAAAACAAAACTTCGAAATCAATCTATGCCAGAACAGCACGTTGTTTTGGACAAGCTGTTATACAAAATCCTATATGTATATTTCAATTTTTGTGAAGATGCTCATGTATCATTTTCAGCCTACGTGACAAATACAAACTGTACAGTAGGCTGGTACTTATGATTTTTCTAGTGTACATAAAGCAAAACGAGTTGTCTAAAAGGCAAACTGGCCAGGAGGAAAGGTAATTTTTCCTACAATTGCAGCATTTGCTTTTTAAAACATCTGAATGTTTCACAGTGTGCATGCTTTGAGTCTTAGAAAGTAATTTCAGTAGTAAAGATTCATTTTGGTTAAGGTAATTACGACTGGTCGTAACAATTGTCCAACATTACTTTTCCCCAATTTTATTCCTACTGAAAACATACTTATTGACATTACATAGGTTAAGTCAGTCTAATACAGGATATTTCTTCAGGACTGTAAAAGTCATGATAAACTTTCTTTTAGTCATTTAAAATTGGGTTTGAAGAGTACTATAAATAGAATATGTAGCGTAAGTGATTAAGAAAAGTGAAAAGTATTAAATTCAAAAGGTAAGCTAAGAATTTCAGTTTTGTAATTATGTTTTTTTTACCTTCTTAATTACATCTGTTCCTCCTTTTTTAATTGATAAAGTCTCAAAATGAAGTTTGATATTGAAATCTTTTCGTGCAACAATTTTTATATTATGCATCCCAATATGATTTAATGTTCTTTGAAGTCTTAGAAACGGTCAATTAGAAAATTGACATTTCTACTCATAAGAGTACAAAAATGAATACATTTTTAGAAAAATCAAATTTCCGTTTATCTAGCCTTATATACCAATGTTAACATGATAAAAACTTGGAAGTTATATGTGATGTCTTACAATGATAGCACAAACATTTAGACCTTGTATTAATAGAATATTTTTCCGAAAAAATAACAAAACATGTTTTTGGATGATAACAGGCCGCAGCTTTAATAATTGTTTCAATGTCAAATGTCAGACAAGCATTTAACAATCATTAGCTGCCACACACCTAAATTGGTAACGGGCGCTATGGCACCTCGCCTTCTAGGGTAATCCATAGCAAGGCGTAACAATATGTATTAATCGACTCCTAGGGTACCCCTTAGCGAGTCAGCTGGGATATCAATGTAATTGCCTCCTAGGGGATTCCTTAGCGAGGCTACTACCTGTTAAACCGAACAGGTAAGCCCACTATACCGCGTAGGGCAAAATAAAACCACCCGTTATACCGAACGGGGTACGAGGTTACTGTTATACCAAACAGATCCCTCACACAAGCTCCCAGTGCACTCCATAGCAAGCTTGAATTGGCTCCTAGGGTAGCCTTAGCGAGCCACCACATGCTCTACCAAGCATGTAAAATAGATAATCAAACATAAACAATAATATAATGATGACTAATGTCTCTGCTTGTCTGACATATTCGTAAAGCCGCGACAGCAACATATCTTCAGTCTTCAGTTCCATTGCAAGTAGATCACAATCCAATCTTGTGCACATAAACATTAAAGAGGTCCATAGATAAACGTAACCTGAAAAATTCAAATAAACAGCAGAAACAGCAGCAGCTCTAATTCTAAACATGTTTAAACTTACAATCTATCAACAACTAAGATTTATTTCTCTTAAGTGGGAGTGGTGGATGGGAAACAATTATTACAAGTGCAGAACGCTGGAGTAGCTATTGAGTAAGAGGAGGAATTCGCCAAGTGCGCCCCTCTTTTGTACTCGCGGCAATCGGGGGAAAGTGTCAAAAAGACATACCCCCTGTGTTTTTCGGAAATCAATTAAATGCGTTTAATTTGCGATTGCATTAAACGACCTTATTTAACATTTGAAGTTGATACAACAACCAGAACACCGTTAAAGTAGTTAAGAGCCATTTTCTGTAATGACTTGAACTTTTATATAGGAGCTGTGGCACGCATAGTCTTAGAATTTCTTCAAACTCTCTGTGATAAAAGTCTTTGATACCGTAAGCTCAAATCAGGCAAAAATTGGTTGCTACGTGTCACGGTTACCATAGCAACATGTCCCAAAGTTTGAAAAATGGCATTTTTCAACATGTTCAGAGTCCCACAGTTTGCAGCAAAGCAAACAAGTGGCAATGACTGTTTCTGAAAGTTGAAGGCCTGGTGTCTTAAATGCATGATAAACATGTTTGGTAAATCAACTTTAACATACGTTACTATGGAAACAAAGTATTCAAAAGTAATAATTTTGTTTATTTAATTTTATAAAGTCATGCACATAAGAACAAAAACAATTATAGGTTGAAATGCAAGCGAACAATAGACAAGAGATCTTTGTAACATATACCAAGGACGAAATATGATATTTCTTATAGGTTGGCAATGGTTGCCATGGTTTTAATACCATGAAGGGATTTTAAATTTACTCTCTTAGTGTTTTAATCTTATCCTATCTTTTTAAAAAGCATATTTATATATAACTGATGATCAATTTTTAAAGGCATTGGTGTGACCCTTATTTTAACATTTCAAAAAATTCAATTTCAATTCTTTAAATAGTGCGTTGCTATGGAAATAAGGCGAAAAAACATGAATAAAAATCTGAAAAATACTCTGTTTCCTTGGATACGTACCCTTGTATGTAGATTCCCAAAACTTTAATGATTGATATATGTGAACAACTAACTTGACTTTCAATTTTGACTACCACCCAATCTCTAACTGGATGCAAAAAGCTGGCACATAGGGTCTAATATTGACAGAAAATTAACAGAATCGAACATTTTCTCTTCTCGGTAACCATAGCAACAGTGTTGTATTTTTCAACAAACTTTATCAATATATGATATTCAACTTTAGTTCTACCAGATAAGTACTATTCAAGGTGAGTCAAATAATATGTTTCTTGATTAAAAGGTTAGTAAATTCCTAAAGCAGCAAAAAAATAACACTTTAAACATCTAGTACGTTGTTTTCATGGTTACACTGCAAAGTAACAATTAATCCCAATTTTTCTTATGTTGTCGGTGTTGTAAGGTCCTAAGGATGTATATATGCCAGTCATGAATTTTATTGTTTTTCCTCAAGATAGTAGCATTAACCCAATCATAGCAACATATTTTTGCATGGTGACACTATGTTACCATGGCAACCACGGAAGTTATTTTTAGAATAATATTGCCAATACCTAATTAGAGAAGGTCAAATATTTTCATTGTTTTTCTTATGTTGTTGATTGAGTTTGATCATGTAACATCTATCATTTGTGAATATTGAGCATTTTTCAGCATTTTTCAGCATCTAAAATGTATGTCAAATGTACCCATGGTTACCACTTACTTAGAGATAAATCCTAAATAGTTTCTTTATAGCATAAGTGGCAACAAGGTGTCATGTTTTTGGGAGAATGGTTTGTTTGTTTTTCTTAGTATTCATTAAGGCTTAATACGGACTTGAAGTTACTGAAAATCTCAATTTTTTTTTAAACTTTTCTGGCTGTTACCATGGCAACCAAGACACATAGCAACGAAATTTTATTTGATATATGCTTCTGGTGTCAAGTTGTAATAATGGGCAAAGTTTCATCAAAATCGGTGACCATGAGTGGCAAAGAAGTTTAAGTGGTTACAGAGAATCGCTATTAAAATGTGAATTTTTCTCCGATTGTCTGGATACCTATGGTTTTTTGTCGTAAAATATACGTGTTCGTCAATTTTCAATTTGAAAATGTAAAGCTAGTGCTTTTATTTGTGTTTCCTAAAAATTTATATTCAGGTTTGATAATTTACCCCATGTGTAATGTAGGTGTATTTAATAGTAAATGTCTTCTAATTTCTTTACAAATAAAGTCTTAATTCATTACGGAATAAGAGATTCAATCAAACGTTATTTCTCTATGCCTGAGCAAGAATTAACACAGGATCACAAGTCATCTATCATCTTTAACATAAGCCAAAAAGGCACATTCCTTTTGTTTATCTTTTTATGTCATTTTACTGTACACTGTATCTGGAAGTTTTAGCAATATACATGTACATTTGACAAAATTACTAACATACCACCAATGGAAATTAATATTTTTCCTTTCTAAACTTGTTTATATGATGTGATGTTACTTAATTAAGAAATGAGGCATCTGAATGCCTTATCTGATTAATAACAACAGTGTTAACTGAAGCATAACCATTTCATAGAAAAAAAAACAAATGTTTATACTTTTTTTGGAGGAATAAATTTCTATTTTTGCTTTGTGTTTGTGTTCTTTAAATTGTACTAATTAAAAACCCAGAAAAAAATTATACCGTTTGCGGCGTTTGACCCTAGAAGAGCCTGTTGAAGCAGTCAGTATGGTGTCTGCAGGGGGTTCCTTTTGAGAAATTTTAACAAAAAAATTAAAACAGTAAAAAAATCATTCAATGCTCTATTGAGAAATTGTTGAAAATAGTTTAATAACATGAAAATGTTTACTATAGATAGTCACAGCATTAAGTAAGCACCTAATGGCAATTACAAGATTGTTCCACAAAATTAGGGCAACCGGAAGTTGGATGGACTGGGTATGGACACCAAGGCACTGAATTACTACTAGGCGATACATGTATGATAGTCTATACCAATGTATTATTTGATTTTTAAATTGCATGGAGACCCTCCTGTTGCTACCTCACGGACCATCTGCGGTAATCACCTACTTCATATATGGGCAAATACGGTGTGTAATTCACGTCGGAAAATTGGTTTTCGGGCAAGAAGGTCATTTAAAGATTTTTGTCATGACACCAAGACATTTGTCAATCCCACTGTATTGGAAAAAATGGCATTTTATATATACTATTACCGATCAGGCAAATGTTCACTTCACAAATAAGAATAATAAGTGCTGCGTTAGCAGTTTTGTCTAGTGTATGTTTTATAATAGATTTAAAAACAATCAAACAATCAGCAACACCAGTATATCTGTTATTTTTCCCAAATCAGCCCCATTTTCTTTCGGATTCAGTATGTCAATTTTCAATGCTATTCAGATTTGCTGATATTTTAAGGAGACAATTAGCATGATAAGTATATAAGGATTTTGAGATTGTGATCAAAACATAGCATTATATGTTAGATATCACTAGTTAGATAACTATTGACAAAACCTTGGCAAATAGTGATGTTTCAAGAAATCTTGAACATAGTCACACTGATTATGTTTTGAATTTTAGATGAGGAATAGAAGCTACTCAAGAAGAATGGTTTTGCTTACTTTCCTGTTCCTCTCTGTTATTCTTGTTTCTGAAGGTAGGCCACCCAGTATTATTTTAAATTTAAAACCAGAATTACTGCTCCCAATTTGTATTATTCCAATGGACTTATCAGCTTGATTACTGTTTATCTTCGTATTTCATTAGTAGGAAAAAACTATTAAAAAAACTTAAAGCTTAAACGACTCGTAGATAGGCACACGCCATATTTGGTTTTCCTATCTCCGATATCAGCACTAGCGTATACCCTTCGCATTCGTTACACCTGACTGTTTTCCTGTCACGGATAACTGCGTGGAAACCGTCACGGTAGCTCAGTAGGTATAGCGCTCGTTCCGTGATCGGAAGGTCATGTGTTCGAATCACGGCCGCGACTGACCTAAGTCGATAAAAATAGGTAGCAACTGTTCCTTTGCGAAGCGCTGGGCACTTTGAAGTGAAAGTTGCGGGTCGATCTTTCCGATGAGACTTTAAAAATCGAGGTCCCGTGTCACGGCAGGCGTTGGCATGATAAAGAACCCTCACTGCTCAATGGTCCTGAGTGCCGAGTAAAGGTCTAAATTTGAAGCCCTTCACCGGAATATGGTGGCTTCTCTATATGAGTGAAAATTCTCGAACGGGACGTAAAACAAACATACAATCAATCAATCTGCGTGGAATGGACCACACCTGTTCCTGCTGGGTATCTTAGTTACTCTTGTCGCTATAGAGAGTTTTACAATAGCTACCTGTATGTAAAATATGTCTGTCCACACCGGTGAAAACTGATAGCACTCAACCGAGACCAAGTGAACGGCTTTTATAGGGACCCTACAGCAAACGGAAAATGCAGACATACATGTTTACATCTCTGCCTTTTACGAATCGTGTTTAGCTTTAATGGATGGTTTCTTTAACTTACATATTTAATCAAATTGTTAACTTGTGTTTTATATTCATAACATTCTAAAAGTGGAGTATCAGTTTCCATTATCCATTTCCTTGCTCATAATCATGTATAGAGAAATCAATTTTTTATATGCTTTGGTCGGACATTCTGGTCCATCATTGAGAGTACTAAGAATTCGACGGAGCCTTAAGTGTTTAACTTTATCAACAGAGGTGATCATGAACTAATAGATATAAAATTTCTGCGACTTTTTTTATAGATGTTTTCATCATACCAGGTGTATCAATTTAAAGAGATTCGTTCCTGAGGTTTTGAGCAGATTTTTGTCTCGATCTCTATTTAAAAAAATCTGCATAATGTTTTAGCTCTTACAAAAAAAATTGGATTCTTCAATGCTAATTAAACTATATTTAATTAAAACCCCCTGATTAAATTCCATACTTAGCATTAAGTGAGGAACTATATTTTGTGAGGGAAGGTTTATTTTTAGAAGGAAATGATCAATTTTTCTCTTTCAAAGTATTTACAATATTGTTGAAGGGGCTTTGGCACAAATTTGAAGTTAATATTTTCTCAAATTTTCTGTATAATATCATGACTATGTTACTATAGGAAATTCAGAGTAGAAATGTGAGAAAGCAAAAACAATTCACCAGTATTGTCAGTCCGTGCTCAGTGATGTGTACAGAGTTTAACAAATTAAACACACCCAGGAAACGTAAAATGTTTTTGTAAACAGGGCACGAGCTCTGTTATTGTCAATGTTTACGTTTCACTGGGCGTGTTCAAGTTGTTAAACTCTGCACACATCACTAAGCACGGACTGACAATACTGCTGAATTGTTTTTGCTTTCTCACATTTCTACTCTGACTTTTCTGGATTATAATTTTAATATTTTTCATTAATACGCAACAAAATTTCTACTTTTTGTAAGTATTAAGGATAAAGTTTAGTTTGTGAAAGTGCAAGGATGTGTCAATTAAACGCGTCCAGAAATTCGTTTAAATAATTTCCAGATATAATAAGTTTGTTTTTTATTATATTTTCGTGTGAAATGCTATAGTAACATATATAAGTCATGATATTATACAGAAAATTTGAGAAAATATTGACTTCAAATCTGTAACTAAACCCCTTTAAGTTTGGATTCCTATTTTTACTTGTAGCCTGCACACAGAGTTATTTTGTGCAGTGAAATTTTTTATGCTGGTCATAAATTATATGTTAAATTAACTGTCGTGAATTCTTTCATCATATTTGACAAATAAAGAAAATAAATTGTGAACGTCCTTGAAAAAAAAATAGCCCAATTTAAGCTTTAACTTAACACTATTTTCGTAATATCTAAAAATTAACATCACAGACCCCCACGTTTAATTTTCTTTTCTGAATATAAAAGATAATGCATAAATTCAGAAAAAATATTAGATAAAAATTTTAATTAATTTATATGTTAGACTTAGTTACAGAGCAAAAAGGTCATATTAAATGTTCCGTAGCGCCAAAAGAAGCGCATTGTCACCCCCCCCCCCATTTCTGTTTTAATTTTTAATTATGCTATGGGTATAGATTTGAAATATATATTTGATAAAAAAAAATCAATAGTTTTGATAACAGGATCCAAATTCAAATTTATATATCCCCCCCCCCATAATTCTGTCGATTCAATATGTTTAGAACTTTCTTTTAAACCTTTAAACTTTTACCATCGTATATTTCGTTTGTGACAAATTACGTCATTGCATAGCATCATATTATTTGCAGTAGTTGAATTATTCATATCTTTTCATTCCTTTAAAAAGTCGACTAGGATAGATTCTTTGTTTGGCGCATTAATATTACCAGAATATATTTAACATCATCAATCTGAACATTAGTTCAATATTAAATGTGATCAAACCGAAGTGTCATCACTGCTCTCATATATGCTAATTATACTTATCTCTAACCTCTTTCTAAATAAAAAGAGATACTCCTCTGCTGAATGATGAGTCAAACAAAAAGAGTTTTTCCATTCTAGCCACAATCATATTGAAAAAAGAAATTCAACAAAATTCGTTTATTGAATCAAGATTTGATCAATTTTTATATTACAATTCCAGCCGTGAAACTCTTTTTTCCAGGAATTTAAACCTTTTGCCTTTATTAAAATAGATTTTAGCAAATCCGTGTATATGATTTTGATTAAATAAGACATATGAGTAAGTATACTGTAGATACTAAGTATGATAAACTAAGGTATACAAGACTAAAATTCAGAAGTAATATTCATTAATAATTAATAATATTCAGTTGTATTTAAAATAACATATTTTATTCATACATGTATGTTCACTTTCTAATTGTTTTCTTTATGAACTTTATGACTTGCATTTCATACCAGGTAATGCAACTATGATGTCACAGTGAAGTGGTGGCACGTCACAGTAACAAACTGTTGGAGAAAATATTTAAAAATAAAAATCCAAAGAAAATATTATGCATTAAATGCTTTTTAAATTCTGCATTATATTGTGATGGTGGTGTATATGTAATATCTTGTCGACATTTCCGGGTGGAATTATCATATGTTCATATGATTAGCATGTCCGATGGGGTTCTATGGCTGGAGTTGCAACAAGAAGTGTGGTTTCTGTGGTGGAAATGGCTCTTGTAACAAATATACTGGATTCTGTCAAAACGATTGTTTGCCAAAATACCACGGTTTGCAATGTCAAGATTCCTGTTCTCCTAACTGTGGTGGATCCGGAAAGTGTAACAGGTATGTAGAATTAGTACATAGATTTGTGTTCCTTCATGATGAAACTGAATCATAAATGATTCGCTATCATAACCATTAATGATAAAATATTATGGAACTCAAATCCATTTTGAACTAATGTAACATTTTATGATCAGTTTATTTTCATTGTTTCTACACAGGTATACTGGGTTTTGTGATGAATGTAAGACAGGATACGCCGGAATTTTTTGCGGAAACAGGAGATGGAAGTTTTGATAAATATTCTCCTATTTGTCGTCATGGATGCAAACCTGGATACTCGGGAATTTCCGGTTATTGGAAAAACTAAATTGAAATCATAAACTTAAACAGTATTTGCACGACAATATTATAACATCACTCTAATGCTGCTTCCTGAAACAATAAAATATTTCACAATATGTCTGACAAAGAGGTTTTAGCAATTCTCAGAACGTCTTTGACTATTACCGGTAATGCTTATATATATATATATATATATATATATATATATATATATATATATATAATATATATATATATATATATATGTAGGACTCCAAAGTGCGATGGGACTCCAAAGACCGATGGTCACGCCAAAGTCCGACGGTCTGCGCCAAATCCCGATGGTTTGACACGCCAAAGTCCGATGGTGCGGAAAAATAAACGTTATGACGTCATAGTACTACTGCGCCAAACTGCCAGCCAAGGTCTTTTGATAAATATCATTATGCAAAAACTAACCCTAAACTCTCCGATAGGTGCAAAACTAACCCTAATCGCTCGAAAAGTGTGTAACAACTATAACATAGATATCTTTTGTGGATGCGAGACTAACACTAATCACTCGACTAGTGTGCGAGGACTAACCCTAAATCTCTCGGGTAAGTGCGAAGCAAGGAGTAATCCTAATCAGTGGAGTGGTGTGCGAGGACTGATCTGAAAGGCACAAGCAATAAGCAAAATCAATAGAATTGTATGCGAGGACGAATTCAGAAATAATGACTTTTGAATGAAAGACAACATCGTCAAGGATTGACGTCGGAATATTGTGACGTCTTAATGTTGATTGTTTCTCCACACCATCGGACTTTGGCGTGTCAGACCATCGCACTTTAGCGCAGTGCGTCTCATAGGAAACGAGCCATCGGACTTTGGCGAGACCATCGGACTTTGGCGTCACCATCGTACTTTGGAGTCTTACACCCCCTCACCCCCAACCTCCCCCCCCCATAATATATATATATATATATATATATATATATATATATATATATATATATATATATATATATATATATATATATATATATATATATATATATATATATATATATATATACAAAATTGAAATAAAGCCTCAGTAATCGGATTACAATATTAAAAATTAAAAAAGAAAAAGCAAACAACCACAAAAATCCTCCGTAAAGCTTTCATTAAAAATTCTTCCTCTTTGATGTATCCTCCCAGAATAATTTTGTGCCTCCAATTTTCTAAGATGTCACATGGGGAAAAATCACCAGAGAATATGGAAACTTCATTTATCAGTAAAGAATTCTATGTACAAATACGGAGGATTTTCTTTATTTTTTTTTTAATTCTATGAACAAATACGGAGGAAATTTGTGTTCTCTCTCTCTCTCTCTCTATAAAACTATTAAAAGTTTATTTCAAAACTTATTCACTGTTTCTTGAATTCACAGATTTATTAACACCGTGAATATAGCGAATATTTACACCTCGAGTAATTTCCCCCTATACAGTAATTACTCTACTGTTTTGAGCGACTCTTTTTACAATAGGTAATGTGATTTTCATAAACACTCATAACCAGGGATGTATATAAAAAAAATAGTCAACGTTTTGCACAACAAATCGTAACCTCATGGACGTAGAAATGAAAGCCAATAATAATCCTCATTGAATGTAGAAATGAAAGCCATTACAAAATGTTTTCTTTGTTCTTCTTTGATGTATCCTCCCAGAATGACTTTGTGCCTCCGATTTTCTAAGATGTCACATGGGGAAAATCACCAGAAAATATGGAAACTTCCTTTATCAGTAAAGATTTCTATGAACAAATTTGTAAAATGTGACATTGATAAATCAGGAAAATCACGGATAAAACATTTACTATTATTTTTCATTGTATTGACGTCAATGAGTCCGAGGCTAACAGAAGCACTCCACTACGACGTCATCATTTGATGTATAAAAAATAGAGCAATATGCCTTAATGAAAAGTGAAAAGTTTTAACACTATCCCAGAGATAATTAAAAAGTGTTTGTAAAAATACATATGAAAAAACATCTCTGGACCATAAAGAGTGCTGCTAGAATCCTACCCCCCTCTCACAGAAATAATAAATCGCAACTTTCGCATAAAAGTACTACTTTTACCAATTTTTGTTTTACATTTTGGACATAAGATCGAAGAATTTTCATCAATTCATGTTCACCACACGATTCTAACAGCACTTTCGAAGTAATATAGAATTACTGTAGAACACAAGTTCTCGATATCAACGAAAATCATGTTTCAAAGAATGCAGCATAGTGTTGAACTTTAGCATCTTTAATATTAAGAACGACAGAGAAAATTCTGATAGGGATTATAAAACACTGTCTGTATTCATTATAAGAAAAAATAATAAAATAACAGTCTGCAGCATTTTTAACATATTAATTACATAATGTACATGTAGATGTTTTCTCGTTAGGATGGAATGATGTTGTTTCCGGAATCCTGACTCCAAACATTGACAAACTGGCGCACAGCGGTATGATCTTACAATCCTCCTACGTCATGCCCGTCTGTGCGCCTTGAGTTTCATTGACACATAAATGATTTTTGGCCCATAATTGGAACTTTTTAAATTTATCTTCTCAACAACAAATAATATTATTTTAGTACAAAGCGTTTTTGATGAATTTATCAAAATGTGCAAACTTTTTTTAGTATTTGATTAGGCAAAAACCTCCTTGAAAAGCCATACCCAATCAATTTATATGTGCCCCCCCCCCCCCCCCCAATACACACACACACAATTTGCCTGTTTTTGGAAATAGGCCTAGATGGCAAAGTTATGTTAAAACATCGTTTGTTATGATAATTTAAAATTTGTTCTTGTACTGTACATGTATGTGAACACCTTTTTGAAAATTTCTACATCACATTGGGCTTGCGTCACCCTACCAGTACTAGTACATGTACTAGTTTTACCATTATCATTTTTAGATTGCACATGCCATGTGACATGGTGCAGTGTTACATGTATATCAGTGGAAATTAATTCATTTTGTGTTTTAATTGGATTATATTTCATGAAGTTGACAGGACCTATGACAGTCGGTAAGTACAAGTTTAAGTATAGATTGGGGCAAAATAAACCGAAATGCAAATGGTTAGGTTAAAGTTTAAAAAGGATCAAAGATCATCGGCTATCTCCTATGCAGAGTTGTCATTCGTTTCTCTCTCAGACACTGAATGTAGTATGAGCCGATCGTAGAGAGTGGATCATCGATGCCACAATAGACGAATTTCACATTCTGAAGAGTTATCTCCCGTTGTCGACATTACATTCAGTTACAGGCATAGATCTGGGAATTTTTTTCCGGGGGGGGGGGGGGGCCACACCTTGGTCCAAAAAAATTCCAGCCCAGAATTTCCTGAGGAGCAAAAAAAAAAAACAAAAACAAAAACAAACAAACAAAATAAAAACAATGATGGTGGGGTCCATGTTTTTAAAGGGGGAGGGCATCCAAAGTCATTTTTTATTTGCTTCTGTAAATCAGTATATAGTCCTATTTAAATAACTCTGCAAATTCCAGGGGGGGGGGGGGGGTTCCAATCTCCCTAGCCGCTCCCTGTCCCTGAAATGACAAATGATCATGCGACTCCTAAATAGTAGAAAATTTTTCCATTTGACTATACATAATTTTGTTTCTTGTGTTATTATGTTATGTACATCTAATGGTTTAAGGTTATGAACCCTTGAGGTCATCCCCACTCTCTTGTTCATAATATGACTACATCAAATTAAATAGAAGTGCATCAATGATAAGATTACTTGACATTTCATTCATGAATTTGGGTCAACCTAGAATTAGGAATGAAAATCATTCAAAGAGATGAACCCTTAAACTATTTGTATGTATTCACATTTTTTTTATGTCAAACCAAAGTATTAGACTAGTTTGCATACATGAACAAACTGGGGTCTGGGAAGGGGAAGGGGCAAGGGGAAGGAGTTATCTCTTTACGTCTTAATTAATTGTTGAAAATTCCTAAAATGAATGTTAACCTCAAATCTGACTTGTACGTCTTCATTATTTTTGAGTGATGGTGTCTCCGTATGAGTGAAAAATTCCCAAGAGGGACATTTAACAACAAACAAACATTAATGACTTAAAAAACACAATATACATGTACATGTTTATTAGTCAATGGATATACTTCTGATCATATTTCTAGTTCTCCCTTGAATCAGAAATGATGATATAAATATTTTAAGAATGATTAAGAGTTGAAAAGGTTGTGCATTTTAAAATTCACTAAGCTCTGTGGTTGAATTAGCTATACCAGTTTAGCTTATTTTGCTACTCAAAGCACCTTGATTAACTATTTTTAATCATACTGTTTTCTGAAATGTGAAGTTTTTTCAACTTGGATACAAGTCATACCTTTTCAGCTTCTGAAAACAATAAATGCATGAAAAAAAAACTGCTTTTCAAATACTGTAACTCTTTCCAAGTACTTGTGATCATCAGTTTTTAGCTCACTTGAGTTTTTCTGGTTTTCTGATCACATTTTGTTTGTCATCCATCTGTCCGCCTGTAAACTTTTCACATTTTTGTCCTCTTCACTAGAACCGCCGGGCCAATTTCAACCAACCCAGCCACAAAGCATCTTTGGGTAAAGGGGATTCAAGTTTGTTCAAGTGAAGGGTCACACCCTCTTTCAAGGGGGGATAATCAAGAATTAGTGAAAATTTGGTGGTATCATTTTAAAAAAGTCTTATCAAGAACCACTGACTGGGCCCAAAAAGTTGAAACTTTCTTTACATAGACAGTGTAGCTTCAAATTTGTTAAAATTATGACCCACTGGGGTAGGATGGGGCCACATATGGGGATCCAATGATTTACATAGAAAAATGCAGGGGATTTTTTCCATCATAAATCTTCTTCTCATGAATAGCAAGGGCATTATTGTCATCCATTTTCGCGAAAGGGACCTAGGGGACATTAAATCTCATTTGTCTGTCAGTCTGTCTGTCTGTCACAATAAATTTAACCTTGGTCATAACTTCTGAATAATAATAGATAGGGATTTCATATTTCACATGTACATTACCTACAAGAACTTTCTAAACATACCATGATTTTTGAACCCATGACCTTGACCTTGAAGTTTGACCTACTTTTCAAAAAAT